TTAAACAACCCTAAACAAACCGGAGGATCCAAAGAAAACCCACGAGGTTGGACAGGTGACACTACTACTTGTCACGTACAACCGGGGAATCGAAACCACGCCAGTCGACTGAATGACAGACTTTACAATACAACACTCACGTGCTAACCATTCAGCCATGCAACCCCGCTTCAACTCAATGAAAAAATGGCAATAAGTAATATAACAACTGATAGATTTAATTGAATACTTTTCGACCAAAATATTTGAAATAAAAGTAGTTTTGATTGTGTATGACCTTATATTTAATCTTTATTCTGATATGTTGGGATTTTAATCTATAATAAATCTATGTAAATAACTACATTTTCATATTAATACAAATAATTCATCATTTCTTAAACACCCACAAATCCTATCATAAACTTTGATATTTTAATAATTTTACAATAATCTTAAAAAAAGATTTCCAATGTAATTTCTGATACTCCTACAAATCAACCACAAATACAAACATTTTACTTAAAGGGACTATCCCGATTTGAACAGAGTCAAAAATAAAAGTCTGAGTACGTTTGAATTTTAAGCGCCAAAATAAAAGGAATGGTGTATTTACCTTGTCTCAAAATTTCAGCTTATAATAGTGAGTCAAAACCGCTTATCCGCACACATAACCCTTTTAATATTTTGGGTTAATTTTTTTGTTGATTGACCTGATAATCTATTCCTCAATCCTTTAGAGGTCTATACAATGAATGACCCACTTGCTGTACTTGATAACAAAAGGTAAATTTCACCAACACATTATTTTTATAAAATAAAAGTCTGGTTTTATCCAGACACCATATAATACAGCTTGGGACACGGTCTCCATTTCCAGATGAAGGCTAATGGGTTTAAGTTGTTTAAAAAAGTATCACATATGTTGAGTTAGTTGCTCAGCCCATTTTAAGGGATTTTAACACAGAATTTTAGCTGTTTTATTCACCAAAATATTATTGGGATAGGCCCTTTAAATTATTATTTTGACTTGCTTCTACAATTATTTTAAAAATTTAAAAATAAAACCCTAATTTACTTCATGGGTTAAATATTATTTTTATTTTAAGATGTAATTTTTTATCCACCTACAACTCTGACATTAATCCAACCACAAACATCGATATTAAAATATTCTAAATATATTCCTTCAATTATTTTAAAATATTAATTAATAAAAACAATTAATCTAAACCAGCATTTAAGGATTAAAAGTGTGCCAACGTCATTTGAGGGAATTTTAATCCACTGGAAACTACATGTCATGAAAGCTTAATCTTTAAAAGGATAATCAATACAAATATGGTTCAATTCTCCATTTGGTATTTATAAAGATATTAGGAATTGAAAATTACGCAACGTGCGGCATCCTTTGCAGACAATAAAAATTGAACAAGGTAAAAATAAAAGTACTGGTATATCAAAAGGGCCAAATTTCACCCAATTCCAAAATAACCAAAAATTTATTGAAAGATAATTATGAATACAGAAGAGAGAGAGAGAGAGAGAGAGAGAGAGAGAGAGAGAGAGAGAGAGCGAAATGGGGTTTAACGTCCACTCGATACAGACTAGGTCATTTCGGGACTAACATATGGTTTAATTTTATTTCAATAATTCGCTTGTGCGTAGGGATCTTTAGCAGTGGGAGGAAACAGGAGAACCCGGAGGATACCCACAAGGTTGGACAGACGACCCTACTCCTTGTCATGTACAAACGGGGATTCGAAACCACGCCAGTTGACTCAATGACAGGCCTCATGATACAGCGCGCACTTGCGAACCATTCGGCCATCCAACAGAATCATGCCAGCAGAGAGAATAAAACATTGAATCCATTCTTTCTATTTGATAGTTCTTTTTGTGTCAGGACATATCCAATAAAATATATGTAATCAATACTTTTTTTATGTTTCTTACGACCAATCTATGTTGATTAGACTTTTAAGTAATATTTATTTTAACCAGATTTTTAGGCTGTTTTGTATTGCACTGTTTCGTCTAAAATCTTTTAAAACATGACGTCGCCTTCTTTAAATTTCTCAGACTGTTTTTAATCTGGTTGATTCGAAGACAGAAGATTATCTAGTGTTGATATCTGAGTTTTATTATCTTAAACGTACATTATACAAGAGCTAAATCTGCCTATTACAGGTCTTTTTTTAGACCTGTAATGTTATCTAAATTATTAATTAGACATTTCTTAACAAAACAAGACCATAATTAACTCTTGATGTCATCGCTAGCCTGCGATATTTAATGGATTAGGTTCCGATTTGCTGTTCGACTTCCATTCATAATTTAATTATTAAATGGATAATCGAGACTATGTTTTATATCCTACCGACTTTAATAATGATGATCTAGGCTAGGCCAAAAATTCAATCGCTAAAATCTCGGTTCATAGTGGATCAATTCCCTTTACAGTATGTAGTTTTTAACTATTAGTTTTTATCTGATCTGACATAAAGTATCTTTAATTAGATGTTAAATAAATAATAGGGATTAAACCATGGAAAATGAACACGACAAACGGAAACGTTGAATCTATATAAATAAAATCAAAGATAGGTTGCCAGGCAACGAAACATAAGCCCACAGCAGCTAAATCATCCGGGCAGTCAACAAGAGTTGTCGCATATTTTTACTTTTTTCGGTAATGAAACATTTATAATACACTAAAATCTAATACAGAAAACCATTAGAATTTGTTTGGTTTTTATAAAGTTCTGCCCCATGCTAACGTTTTGTATACAAAACTTATAATACTGTATCATGGATTTAGCTGTTCCAAGTCATAAAAATTCAAATCAATATACTTGTTCGTCTCAAGGTCTTAAACACTGTGTATAAATTTAAAGTCAATCGGATATTAACTTTCTCCTCTAGAGCATCCACAAGATTTTTTGAAGTGATCAAGGGCCATTTCTCTGGCAGTAATTATCGGAAATCGCTGAAAATCAATAGGCTTCTTTGTCTCATGACCTTAAACACTGTGTATAAATTTAAAGTCAATCGGATATTAACTTTGGCCTCCAGAGCGCCACAAGATTTTTTGAAGTGATCAAGGACCATAACTCTGGCAGTAATTATCGGAAATCGCTGAAAATCAATAGGCTTCTTCGTCTCATGGCCTTAAACACTGTATATAAATTTAAAGTCAATCGGATATTGACTTTGGCCCCTAGAGCGTCCACAAGCAATTGTGGACGCCGGACCAACGGACGGGGGCGACGACAATATACGACCACATTTCAATGTGGGCGTATAAAAATGTATGTATGTTCGCCCATCATGCTTCGTCACCGCGATCCACTCCCAGATATGTGGCATCAAATTAACCAGCATGACCTCGTCAATGTTTTAGGGAATCAAATTTGAGCCCTGGGTAAATTGGGCTTCGTTGCTGCTCGGCATCCACACATATGTGGCATCAAATTAACTAACATAACCCTGTGAATATTTAAGGCCATTGAATTTGGGCCCCAGGCGAATAATGCATCGTTTCCGCTCTGCACCCCTACATATGTGGCATCAAATTAACCAGCATGGCCTTGTGAATGTTTTAGGCCATCGAATTTAGGCCCTGAGCAAATTGGACTCCTGAAGAAGTCAGGTATCTTGTTTGTTATATAATATTCAAAAGATTGTTTTTCTACTTCCACCATTAGACACTTGTAAATTTAGATTTAAAATCAATCTGATTGCATGTGTATTAAATTTTTTCTTACATGTAATCTGCCATTTTTTCCTATAATTGTTTCTTTGATGTTTAGTTTTGTAATTAATCATGACTTAAAGTTTGGATTAATTCTCATTCGATTTAAAACTAATCCTATATGTACATTAAAATTTATTCAACACATAACAGCGTAAGAATTTATTCAACACATAACAGCGTAAGAATTTACAGTTACATATATGTTGAGTGGTAATGTTTGATAAAAACATATAACTAAATTTACTATAGTCTATATTTATATCCAATTATTTTATAGTCATAATAACTCATATAAATTACAGTAACTCATATAAATTACAGTATACTATACATATATTAACTCATATGAATTATAGTATACATATTTTAACTCATATAAATTATAGTATACCATACACATATTAACTCATATAAATTATAGTATACCATACATATATTAACTCAAATGAATTGTAGTATACTATACATATAATATACACAAATTAACTCATATAAATTGTAGTATACTATACATATATTAACTCATATAAATTATAGTATACACATATTAACTCATATGAATTGTAGTATACTATACACATATTAACTCATATAAATTATAGTATACTATACATATTTTAACTCATATAAATTATAGTAAACTATACATATATTAACTCATATCATAGTATACTATACACATATTAACTCATATAAAATATAGCATACTATACATATAATTTAAAAATGAAAAATAATTGTTTGCTCTTCTGAAAAGCTCACAGTTTATAAATTTAGTATGGAGAAATTCTAAGCCTATTAACCTGGTCGTGTTTCATTAGTACAATTCCTGCTGGTCCTATTTTTTCTACATGAATACAAGATGATTATGAATAAAGAAGAATCATCGCAGAGAGGATAAAACATTAGATCCATTCATTCGATTTGATAGTGCTTTTGTTTTAGGGTATTTATTATATAAGGAATCACAGGGCATTTTTTTAAGGAAACTCAGGGAATTTTTAAGGAATCACAGGATGTTTTTTTAATGAATCTCCAAGCATTTTTTTAAGAAACTCATGGCATTTTTGAGGAATCTCAGGGTATTTTTTAAGGAATCTTAAGAACTGGTGCAACTGTTTGGTTGTGTGTGGCATGCTTCTCGTCCACTTGGTGAACTCTTTCACAAATTATCAATAAAGCTTTTTTATCATTTCATTTTATATATTTATATCGCTTTTTAGATATATTTTGATAAAATAAATAAAAAACTATCAGCACTCACCTGTAGAACATGTGTTCCTTGACGCGTTTCAAATATTTCCACAGCCATATTGGTTCTTCGTCTTCCACCACCTGCAAAATTACACAAAGTTGAGTGATAATCTTTCAGAGGCATTTAGTAACTGGATAGAGCAATACACAAAAACATATACTTATGGAAAAACAGCTGCTAATTTATTTGGGCGACGTTTTTCGAAGAGTATTCTTTCAACGTTATCAAGCTAATACAAAGTTGAGTGAGTTTGAGTTAAACCATGTAACCCAAGGTTCAAGTTTTACAATCTCATCTAAACCTGAGATTAAGAAACTTTCTCAGAATTACGTGAATATTCTATACTACACCAAACTCGTTAAAATACAGATCTATATTTCGTTTTGTTTTTTTAAAATTTCGATGGCCACACTACATGATGATATGACAAGTTGTAGTGGAAGGTCACATCAGGGGTCATACGAACGGCTTTTGACCCTATGAAGTCAGACATTTGATTAACCAATCAGCGTTGCTGTTTCTAGTGGGTTACCCACAGTTCCATGCACCTCACTCCAATAACTCGCCGTAACAGACCCCTTCATTGGCTAATTCCTCACATCAACCAGAACGTGGGTTATATAACAACTCTTCCAGATTCTACTGTAGTAAAGACAAGTTAAACGATATTTTGAAATATAAAAAACGAAATGAAACAGGTTCTGTGTTGTAATCAGACTGATATAACACCAACTGTCGAAGATAACAAAATACACTGGACATGTTTTACTGGAGCTGCAGTGGCTAAGTGAACAAGGCGTCGGCTTGCTAAGCTGGAGCTCCCATGTTGGCAGAGCAAATTCATCAGGATTTTCCGGCAAGGTTCCCCCCCCACCCCCTGATTCCATTTCTATAAATTATGAACTGAAATGTCTTCCATAAACTTGGAAAGTGATGAAAAGCTGTCCATACACAAGATCAACAGAAAGACAAATGACATTGTTTATTTATTTAATGACGTTGTCAGATGACATGTGACATGGTGTCAAGTTGAGGAGAGAAGTTTTTATTTGTCTCAACTTCAGGTATTTTATGACCATAATAATCCTGTTTTATTATTTATTATTTAATGTATGAACAAGTTTTTATAACCTTTACATCTTTTATCATGATCATTTCTTTTAATTATTTTCTTACCCTGTTTCAACAAATTTACAACAAACCACCCATACTAGAGAGAGAGAGATGGGGTTTAACATCCACTTGACACAAACTAGGTCATTTCGGGATGAACATATGGTTTAATTTTATTTCAATAATTCACTTGCGCGTAGGGTTCTTTAGCAGTGGGAGGAAACTTAAGGACTTGGAGAAAACCCACGAGGTTGGACAGGTGACCCTACTCCTTGTCACGTACAACTAGGGAATCGAAACCTCACCAGTTGACTCAATGACAAGCCTTATGATCCAGCGCACAGGTGCTAACCATTCGTCCATCCACCCCCCCTCCCCATAATAGAGATTAGTCGATCATTGTTTATAATAAGCCAATAATTGTATTATCAGCCGATTTTGGTATTTGTCGAGAATTAATCTTTTTTATGGTTGCTTTCATTGACATTCAATTGTAAAGAAATTTTAACGGTGGGGATTTTAGAGTTAATCAAATATAGGACAGTGGGATGTGATCATAACATCTGTCATTGATTCAAGTGGCGTGGTTTTGATTCACCGCTTGTACGTGTCTGCTGTCCAACCTCCCACTGACCCCAACGCGCAAGCAAATTATTGAAATAAAATTAAACCATATGTTGGTTCCGATATGACCTAGTTCATCTCACTCTCTCTGAAACAAATACATGAGATTGCTGGTCAACTGCCCAAACCCTTTTTATGCCCTAAACATAATAAATTGGGAATAGAGACAGAATCCTAAGGGGGGATACAGAAGGGGGCTACCACAACCCCTTCCCCCTTTTTGTTGTCGAAGGAAATGTTTTTCGTACCATCTAAATGATAAATCATTGCCGGAAAATGATAAGTTTCACTAACAGGAGGGACAAGGTTAGGGTTAGGATAAGAATTAGGATGCCGGAGGGAGGACCTGGAAAACCATCCAGTTATCTGGATGGGACAAAAAATGTTAGTCCTAATACAACAAAAAAACCCTTCCATGACTCCTGAAATTGATTCCACTTTTTAGACCCCTGCCCAGGGCAATGAACCTTCTGAATGAGCTCATGATAAACGTACATGTACATGTAAAATGTAACATGAAACTGGGCTTTGTTGAAATGTAAAAATTTGGGGTCAACAACCGTATAAATATCGTCTGACATTTTAAAGCCACTCATATCTTGAAATAAACAGAAATAAAATATTTTAAAACTTTCCAGGTAAGAAAATATATTATGTGACAATTATCGTGTGAAAGATCCCTTGGCAGTAGTAAATCAACAAATATTAGGCGTTTAATATAAATGTCGTGAGTAGACAGCGTCTGTGTAAATCAACGTGTAACAGCCATGTTGTTATTGTAATTATCAGGGCTTGATGGCTGACAAACAATCGTATCTTACGGATTGTCACATCAGGGTTTTTTTTTTTCGGGGGTAATAGATTTTTTTGCTTGTTTTGTTTATCACCTCTGGCTGTAGATTGTTTATGACATGTCCAGTAGTCCATCTAGATTCTTTATTTTATTTCGACATGTTTTTCGTAATTAAACAAACATCGTTGTTTATGTCTGGTTCTGGGATGGTCAGATGACAAAAAATACTCCCCAAAAACAGCAACTGGTAAATCAAGTCAAATTCTTGGAAACGTCACATCGTTCTTTGTCATTTTCTTTAAACCGAATGTGACAGGATGGCCCTGTCTACGATGGCCCTGTCGGGGAATCAAGCAGAAGAAAATCAAAGATGAACAATCTAGGTGAATAAATTGTGCGTTTTGGTTGAAATAACCAGAATTTTGTGGTTTCAGATTTCAGAATAAAAAGCGCATGTTTTCTATGACTGGACCAAGGGATGGTCAACCCCTGGTGTACTGGATGATTGAAAGTTGCGAGTATCTTGTGACCATAATAAAATAAAGTAGTATAAGCCTACTTATTAGTTTTAGTGATTTTATTATATCCTGCACATCGTTTTTAGCGAATGTTAACGTTTTTCATATTTTCAATAACGCTATGGTTCACATTCCTGCGGTAACGGGGGATAATGTACCTTTAACTTGAGGAATTTCTGACCAATGTAGCAACATCTAGATGTTGTAAAACTCACTGTCGTTGTGTCTAGAACACGATAATTTATCCGGCACATGGGACCACTCTGGACAATTTAAGACAAGTTTTGTAACCATGCCAACAGTGGTCACCATGTAAATGGCTTGTAATTGTCCCACGACTACCAACAGCGGTCACCATGTCCAAGGCTCTCTACCTGTCCCACGACTCCCAACAGTGGTCACCATGTCCAAGGCTATCTACCTGTTCCACGACTCCCAACAGTGGTCACCATGTCCAAGGCTATCTACCTGTTCCACGACTACCAACAGTGGTCACGATGTACAAGGCTATCTACCTGTCCCACAACTACCAACAGGGGTCACAAGGCTATCTACCTGTCCCACGACTACCAACAGCGGTCACAAGGATATCTACCTGTTGACTGACATATTTGTTATGTTTATGTAATTAGTATGTTGTATAATTTATATCGTGTGTTAAATCATCGTAATACAACAATATAACTCACATTAAACTTCTATTAAATGATAATATCACCATCATTCTAAAATCTAGAACAAATTAGACATCTTGTCACCATGGTTAACAATTAAATATCATGTGAACAAAAAATGACATCAGGTGTTCGAGAAATTAAAGTTTTCATGTGAAGCGAATTCATCAAGTGAAATAGAGTTTTAGTGTTCTACGCTGACTAGGCGGCTAATGAAGATGAGCATACACCATACAGTTTTTAGTCCAATCGTAACTTTCACAAAATGTGGTAATGTGTAATTAAATGATATGAAATGGAGTTTAATGTCCTACTGGTTTGCACCGACTGGGCTAATGAAGATGGGCATACGCTATACAGTGTGCTTTGAGCGAAATTTTACCCAAAGAGTGACTCTAATTTCGAATTCCAACTATCAAGGGATCTTTTATGTGCACTACCAGTTTATACAACACACTTTTTATCCCATCCTTAGGACTAGATACTTTGACTGGCTAGACCATGCACCCTTGACAAGTATCATACCGATTCTAGTGGTCAGAGTTTCGATCTTAGTTTGTAATAACGAGTAGTCTCCCCTGCCTAATCACATGATTTTTCTCCCAGTTTCTTTACGCACCCTGAACGCAAGGAAAGATAAAGATATATGTACCTATGTCCCGGTTAGTGTCGCATGAACGTTAAACCCCACTCCTCTCTTATCTGCTATTGTCAAATCTGGGAGTTTAATGCGTGTGCGCTGTATCGTAAGGTCTGTCATTGAGTCAACTGGCGTGGTTTCGATTCCCCGGTTGTATGTGACAAGGAGTAAGGTCGCCTGTCCAACCCTGTGGGTTTTTCGCCAGGTCCTCTGATTTCCTCCTACTGCTAAAGACACCTATGCGCAAACGAATTATTGAAATAAAAGATGTTATCCCGAAATGACCTGGTAAGTATCGAGTGGACATTAAACCCCATTCCCCCCCTCTCTCTCTCTCTCCCTCTCTCTCTCTGTCTCTCTCTGTCTCTGTCTCTCTCTCTCCTATAACAAATCAAAATCAGTCAAATACAAACAGATCCAAATTTCGAAATATTTCAAACAAAGGCAAGGTATGTTTTAAATGAAATATTTGTAACATAAAAAGTAAAATTTTTAGATATAAAAATGACAAGAGAAGAATTAGAAATATTATAAATATCTTTAGCACTGTTGGGGGATTATGACCTGATTACTTTGTACTGACAGCTTTTATCCAAAATTTTTTTTCTAGAAAATGTACATTTTGACATATGTATTCATAAACTGTTATACGTCTGACTTTTTTTGTACTTATATTTTTTTTTCTTGGTCTCACACCTAATGTGGCATGTAACAAATA